AGATAATAAGATCCTACTTCCGCCTAACTTTTATCCAGGGTTTTTATAAAAATACAACAACTGATAATAGATTAAAAAAAAAAGAACGAGATAACACAAGGTTAAAATATTTATTAATATCATAAACGGTTAAAATACTTTATCAAAATAATAACCATTGTTTTCCTTTTGCCCGACGAATAGAAGGATACAAGGTTAACAGTTAGTAAGCCTGTAATATGTCCGTTGCACTGAGACAGCTCACACCCTGAAAATTTTCAATTGAAAGTGACCGACGCCTGTATGTTATTATTGTATTCACTAAAGCACTTAAAATATACCTCTATAAACCGTATTACAAAATAACCTTAATAAAACTAACTTTGATATATTTTTATCATAAAGTTTGTTAACCAATCTATGTAGTAGGACTAGAACTGCATTTAATCCAATTTATTTTATCTAATTAAAGTAAACATCAATTTAATTTAAAGGGTAACGCGCATTTATTAACTTCTCGTCCGTCGGCAACGCTCCGCCTATCGAGAATCGCAGCAATCACTCTACGTCGCATCGATATTTTTATATCAAATACATCTTTATCTTAAACAATTGGCGAATGGAGTAAAGATATAAATAATAAATTAATTAAAATCAAAACGAAAGGAGCACTTGGTTGCCTTTCGGCGAGGCTTTTACTCGTCTATCTTTCCTTACTTCGCAAACAATGCGACATTTTTAGTCGCTAAACGACTAACTCTATACCGACATTTGGCGAGGAAATCGCCGAACGTTTGCCATCTGATGCCAAAAATGTTGCCGTAATTTACCAAATGCGAGAGAAAACATTTTAATTGGAAATCTTTATGAATTCGTGACGGCCGTGTAGTCGCTACGTCGGCAGTGCCGAATGTGCGTTAACCTTAACTCCTCGTTCCAATGCAACAGGTTGTTTGAAGAAAGTACCGACAGAGCCGAGACAAAAACACTTTTAAGTCTCTTTAAGCGTTGGTATTTAATTAACGCTGTCAATTTTTTTTATAAAAAGTTAACGCTCATTTAAGATTCACTTGTTATTGCTTTGTTTCTATCACAAAAGCTTTGTTTGGAGCTTCTCCGGTTTATAGCATATCTATTGACAGATTTAACGCTTTCTAATAAGTATGTATAGGACTTAGCGTTCAAATAAATTTATTAACATTGATTATAAAACAGTACAAGACATAGAAAAATGGTGACAACCCGAAAATCGTGTGTGAGTTGAGATCCTATAATTTTAAAAGGAAATCGTTGCCAAAAAATTGGTAAAACACTTAACAAAGCAAATCGTTACAGTACAGTTCCGACGGACTTTTAAGAGCGAGAAATTATGTTTTTTTATTCCATAAAAGTATCATATGTTTCTTTGCAATTTAAAATAGCTAAACGCAATACCAAAACACGGGATTTTATTGTATTCGTCACTAAACAAGACCCATAATGTAACATTACAGTAATCAGCAATACTTTTGGTTGAATCAATATAAATTATTAAGATATCATGTTCATGTTCACAAGGTAAATTATTTAATAGCTAAGTAACTCTTGCGTTCGCTAAATTTTGAAAGAAAGTTTGTTAATACACAACATTAGTATTTTTTTTGTTTAAATTCTGATTAAAAGTATTCATTATTATCTTTCAAGCACTAATAAACCATAAAAAAGACTTTAAACATAATTTTATTAGTAATTTGTCATAAGTCTTCATATTCTCTTTTTTTAAAACTCATCTCTTTAAAAAGTCAATTTAATCATTAAAACATGTTCGGGTATTGATTTAACTATTTAAAAATAACTATAAATTGATATTAGTAACTAATTTTAATATTACAATTTATTAAAACATAACTTTTCGCAACTTAGATTCTAAACTTACCGACAAAAATCCTCTAAAAGCCGGTAAAACTTCAAGAAACTGCACAAAATAACACAAGAGATCGAATACAAACTGATTTTAAATGTTCACAAATTAATCAAAATAATCCAAGAAAAATAATTTATTTTTTCCGAGAGCTCAGGCGGGAGCACTGAATGCAGGTGTTGAACGCACGTCGTTCCGAATGAAACTATTTACTAGGGCTAGCCTACAAGTTGAACTGACTCCGGGTGGACCGCCCACTCAGTATTCTCTTCCCTTGATTCAGCCATCGACGTTTTACATCCCCCCTTACCTTCCTACTCGACGCATAAATGTATAGATTTTATTATGCGCGAATTAGTATATTGAATTTTTTAAATTACTTTTATAAATTTTGCAATCCCACATCCGTATTATAATTATAGGCCTTGTTTATTGATGAAATAAATGATTTTATGTTAAATCAAAGGTTAATTTAGTTTAATATTCTTACAATATTAATATAAATAACGGATGATCAAGAATAAAAAGACTTCTATAGGGAACGCCATCTATTGGTGCTAACATCCGTATACAGACATGAACCTTGTGCACTTGAATTTGCTTTAGCTGCCAAGGTTACGTTTGGAAAATCGTAGCCTCGTTCAGCCAATTTGCTTGGATTTCCTCTGGAAAAATTGTTGCGCATCTCTCTTTTGTTTTTATATCTATTACTTATGTATTATAACATCTTAGATAAACTAATTCCACTGTAGTATTTGAATGAGGATTATAAAAATTAATACGTACATCCATATACTTTAATTAATGCTGTTTTTTCAGGGTTGACAACAGGAATACGTCCTCTTTTTGTGTGTTCCTTTGCTTGCTCCTTGCTTTTTTAATGTAGGTAACGCATTTCCAAAGCGGATGTCTATATTACAGTGGCCGCTTTGCTATTTTGGCGAATTATGGTGACCATTGCTCGTTAGCCACCTTAAACTATAAAAAATTGTTGGTATAGTCGATTGTAATGAATGTGAGAATTTATTTAATTTTTTTGTAATGACCAATCTGAACAATTTTACATTCATAAGACTGTAATCGTAGGCATGAGTCTTTAATGAAGTACTAAATTATAAGTAACTAGCTTTCACCCGCGACTCCGTCCCCGTGAAATTACAAAAAAAAAACAAAAGTGAGTAGCCTATATGTTCTTCCAGACTATTCTTTAAGTCTATGCCAAATTTCATCGAAATTCGATCAGCCGTTTAGGCTACAAACTCTAACAAACATCCATCTATCCATCTAAACTTTCACATTTATAATATTAGTATAAGATTGTTTTTTTTTGATATCTCTCCTTTTCAGCCGATTACGTATCAGTTTAGGATTTGGTATAGGGCATAGTTGTTAATTAAATTTAAAATTGTTTATGAATTATAAAATGATATTACGGTAAAATTAAATTTGGCAAATCATTTCGTCTTTTAAATTGATAGATATAATATTAAAATCTAGATTTATTGAATACAAGTGATGTAAAGAAATAATCTGAGCGCAACAAGTGTCGGATGATTTCATCTTTTCAATTCTTAACATAATGGCTTTGTATTTTAGTTTCGAATTTTGCATATATAAGTTGTTTTTTTTAATAACACTGCGAAAAAATATTGCTGTCTCTTAATATTATAAAGCGGAAAGATTTGAATTTTTTGATTTTTGTATGTAATCGATTCACGTAAAAACTACTGGGCAGATTTCAAAAATTCTTTCACTTTTAGAAAGGTAATTTTTCTGTGAGTAATATAGGCTACATAATTTTTTTTAAATTTCACGCGGGCGAAGTCGCGAGTAACAGCTAGTTATATATTCGGAAGTAGAATTACTGAAACATATGACAACCTGAAAACAATAGTGTTTAAGATCTCCTGTATTCTTATGCCTATAAACGAAAATATTAAAGTAATTCAAGTCGCGCCGCGCGATTCCACCTCAGTTGTTTTAGTCTAATACGCTGCGAAGTTAACACGTGAATGACGCACTAAGATGTTAATTTTTTTTAATTTTTAGATGAAGAATATTAAACCTTTTATAAATACACTAATCTATTGAACAGAATAAAAGTATGTAAATATGTAAATTGTACCTTCGCACAATACTGGAAAAGGTAAAGTAATGTGACCAAATACATCAAACGATACTAGTCCTGCCATCTATTAGCAAATGTGTGTTTTAAATTTACCTAACCTGTGAAATTCGGAGAAGAGCTTTTTCAAGATTTCACACAATTTGTAATACAATGTAATTTGCATATTGTATAGTGTATTACAGAAAAACAGTTTTCAGTTATTAATAAAAAATATGTATAAAATTCTTGTCACCAAGTAAATTTTCCAATATAAGAAAATCAGAGCTCTCTGTGAATAGATGTTTTTTTTATAAAGGTAAGAAAGACGGCAACAGTAATTGGTAATTCGTTATAAAACGTGTAGGTTGATTAAGACCTATTCATAAAATATTTTTGGATGTTATTGAATATTCTATGTACCACGTGACGAGACATTATTGTGGGATATCGTTATGATCATATTTGGTTCTCGGTAAATTAGCTAGTCGGCAATTTTGCGGCCGATATTATCCTGAATGGCAACAAGGATTCTGAATAAACAAGATGATATTTGACTTGTTTACTTGTGTTATACAAATCTTATCTTTACTTTATTATCCACTGACATTTTTGGATTATTACCAGCCGTCACCACGCTCTGTACCCACGTGAGAAGAAAAATTTCATCCGTCCCACCTTTTAGTCCCACTATCACCAATATGGTGACAGATGGAACCGTTACGAAATAAAATAAGTTCCAACCGGCCCTCATTGCAAAAGGTGAGACGAATGGAACTTTTTATTCTCATCTGTTCCCACGTGAGGACAGAGCAGGGTGACGGTTAGGAATCCCCTATTTCATGAATAGTATCTTATTTAAAAATCTTTTCATTTACTAAATAACAAAAACATTCTATTTTAATTCAATTCTAATATTTCTATACATAAAACTTAAATTGTTAGATGTCAAATGTAATCAAAAAAAAAAAAATTTAAGACAACGAAAGTCATATTGATTCAAAACCAAAAATGACATCGACATTGAAGCTTCAAAATTTTGTTTACGTACTGACTGTCTTATTTATCATAATATTTACATAAAACTTATCGGAATAGTTGTATCACAGATATATTTACAAAATGTCGGCGTCTTTAGATGCATCTTTAGATCCTATGGAGGAGATTCGGTTTAGAAAGAAGCACGGCGGTTTATGGGCGGAAATTCAAAAGAGTACCCATTTTACGTTCGACGAGCTAGAAAGTGAGTTCGGAAATGCATAAATACTTTTTAAATTTATCGTATTTATTTGGTTGACTATGGTCTATATATACTTAAGGTAGACTCGGAGCCCCTTAGTGGGATGATAATGAAAATTTAATGTTACAGAAATCATGGTTATATTTTTTAAAATACAAAAGAGGGACGATAAGCCTGCAGCATCGGACCTTATATCAAGGTTAATTTTTTAAAATTATTTATGTATCATACTAACATGATAAATGCGAAAGTTTAGATGGATGGATGGATGGATGTTTGTTAGAGTTTGTAGCCTAAAGAACGCATAGGCTACTCACTTTGTTTTTTTTAATTCCACGCTGACGGAGTCGCGGGCAATAGCTAGTAGTTTATAAACGTAACGACGGCTAACTCCTAGCCGATGATTAAAGCTAGGTCTAAAAAGTTTTATAATTTTTTATTCTCTGGAGGGGAGCAGTACCCCCCTCAATTACTCTGAGCGAGATGCCAATGCTTCCTGCAATACTTCATGTATCATGGCTTTGTCATTACTGATTGGGATATTCTAGATTGTTTTAACTAACGTATTAATGAGTCCGAACCGTACATTTAAAATAAGTACTAAGTAATTAAACTTGTTAATTAGATCAGTATTTAAAATAAAAAAAAAATATTATTTACTAATGAGGTCTGACAAAGTCAAGTTTTATATTTATTTAATGCTAGATATTTTTAGAGCTCATTTTAGGGACGTTCTACACACCGGTCTTGGTATGACAGATTCGTATATGATGGAGAGAGTTATGGTGGCGTTGGATCGCGGCACCTCGCCCTACGTGACTATGGCCACATTTGGCAAAGCCATGTCGCTTTATCTTCGCGGCAGTTTGGAAGAGAGAATCGCTTATGCCTTCACAGTAAGTTTATGTGCGAGAAACTCTTTATTTTTCCTTTTATAATTGTTTAATGCAAACAAAACATAACTGACTCCCAAAAACAATGGTACAGATAATTGAATTTAGTTTTGCGAGGTCCAAGTTAAGTTTACCCTAATCATAAGAGATTTTTTTAATCTCTTTCATGTTTTTAGTGCTATGATTTACTAGGAGAGGGTTATTTGCGACGGGAAACGATGTATCAATTAATGAAAAAAAGCTTAGCGAAAGCTTCGAGAGATGACGATGTAGAGGAAGCGGTCAAGGTAAGCTATTCTATCAATACCAAACGCATCGCCTATGCACTTGACCGTCATAACTCCATCTCTGTTATTTTTAAAGTAAATGAGAGAGATGGTTACATGTTTCTGTGTTCCGACCTTGTTACGGCTGTATCAATTTTTGTGCGATAGAGACAACGGTCGGTAGCTCTCCCTCTTGTACACTGGCCTTGTGAAATTTCAGCCTGCTTATGAGCGCCATCTGTGCGACAAGAGAAACATCTAAAGTGAGTCGTAACACAAAATAAACGTAATCACATTCCTATTTTGTAATGAGACAACAGATGGCACTACTGCAAAATGAAATTTTGAAAGAAAGCCGTATTCAACCTGTACATAGTGAAATTAATAACTTTTCTCTATTTGTAGGAACTTGTGGATATAATGTTGAAACGCATGGATGCCGATTTGGATGGAGTGATAAATTTTAACGACTTCCATATATCTGTGACTAAAACGCCTTCTCTACTGGAAAGTCTTGGTTATTGTCTGCCTGAGAGACCAGCGGTTTACGCCTTCGTATCTACATGGTGTCCCGCTTGGAAATCTATGTGAACTTTGTTTCATATTGTGTATAGATCGTCGAATAAAATTTGATCTGCGAAAGTATGCTCTTAAATCGGATATATTTTACTACGAGAATGTAAAATTCACACCTTCGATGCAATTTTTTGTAAGAAAATGAAATCGACAGGCATCAGCATTCAAAGTGTTAATAATTTTAGCAGATTTGAATATCTAAAAGGTTTTGTCTTCCAGTTATTCGGTTATCTCGTACATAATATGCTTACTAACTATTCCGAACTATTCCGAATGTTAATGTTGATATACTTAATTTTTTTCTTTTCAAAGTACTGTATTTTATATAATATTAATTAGTTAAAATTGTATCAATAATTTTATACAATATTATCTAAACGAATTGTTCAAGAATATAAGCATAATCCTCTTCGACTCAGACAATGAACAAAGGGCTGTATGTTTAATTAATTCCTTTGACTCTACCCCCGTAATAGAGTGCCATTCCCTAACAATTTTACTTTACTGATTTGAAATTCAAAGATTTGTGTAACTACGCATAAAGGATTTGATTAAAATGTCCCATCTTATATTTACATTTAGTTTGTAACGATAATTAATTGTGTGGTATTGGTTTATGTTTTTAAGTCAAATGTATTACAAAGTTAACGTGTCAGTGCCGACTTTAACCTGACAAGTGCATAGCCGAGTTTTGATTATGGATTTCATGTTACTTAAATAATATGTGGATATTTTACAGTGGTAGTGCCCGCTTTAACATCTTCGCACGAATTGGCCGGCTCGCCCGGTGTAATACCATGACCACACAGAAAACAGGCGTGAAGTGGAAGCGATTCCGCGTTTCGTCTGATGAGTGTGGTGCCGGAGGCCTGACTTTAGTCTCTTTTCCTTTCCATCCTTTTCTTTAGAGGAAAGGATGGGAAGGAAAAGTGGATTTGACGGTGGAGGAGACGCATAGGAAAGGGAAACGTCCTCTTTATGTGCGTCTTCTTCTCCGTTAATTAAGGTTAGGGAACGCATCTGCAATTGCGGATGTTTATGGGCAACGGTCGCTTTCCATTTCGGAGAATTCAGGTGGGCGCACGACCAAGCGCGAATAATATAAATTATAAAAAAAAATATATTAATTATTATATTATTAAATGAGTTAACCATTCTACCATAAGCTACCATTAAGGTCTTACTCGAAGCTTCATGTCTATTTTACAGTATTCGATTCGAGTCGAGGCTGTCCCCTAACTCCCTGCCGACACAATGCTATTATGACTCGCCGATAAAAATAAAGTTTGAGTTTTCACTGCCATAAATTACTGTAAAACTATACTCTCATGATCGCTGTTTTATCAAAGTGTTTGAAAGATTTACATATTTTGTACATGTTTCAATACTGTGAAAACACATCACTGATTCTCCGGTCCTGTTTCAAGCAAAATGACATGTACGTTTTTATTTTCTTTGAAGGACAAAAAATATTGACGCCAGTAGAGCTCGCAGCGCCTCGAGTGTAAAGTGATTGATTAAAATGAAATTATGAATGATTAATGAATCGAAGCACAGCCTTTGCCCTTGTGTACCTTTACAATATATTCTGGAGATTTATTGCCGATTCATTTTACTTTTATAACCTTGCCTTAACCTTAAGTAAATAAAATCTAAACACTGTTCATTTAAATCTGTCAGGACTTAAAGTCTGCATTGAATAATTTTTACGCGATAGACAAACACTTTTCTAAAAGCTACGTTATACATAAAAAGTCGCGAGTATTTTATATATAGTAAAGATATCGAAAGTCATGCTATGTAGCAAATTGCTACGGGTAATTATAAACTTTCATTTGAACTTAAATGAAAACGAGTAAGCGCAGAGTTTAATAACAAAATTGCAAGGTAAAATCTGTGAAACTTAGTCTGAGACGCGTCTAACCTATTTATGTATTTTATACAATTTACTAAAGGTATAATAGCACATAAGGCTCGCTGTCAATAACAAAATGTATCACAAAAGTTTTTTTTTGTCTTATTTTATTTTCTATACCTAAGTAGGTTTTACATTTACCGACAGAAGTAATCGCGGTCCAAACGCCGCTCACCGGGCCAGATAAATATGTCAGACTAAAATGAGGAAAATGACGTAATTTATATAGTATTTTCTTCACGGAAGAAACACTGAATGGTACTGTAAAGTTTTAATGAGATTCTCAAAGTGAAGTTTCCAATCATAAATTCTACGCTTACGGAACAGAACTTTGTCATCCATAGTGGAAATAACAAATGAGACAATTTAAGATACGAGGTACTTAGACTTAGTTAGGACAGGTCTTAGTAAGGGTTTAGACCCTATGCCATAAAGCTTGATTACCCCAAAAATGTATGGACTCTGTTTAGAGAGACATTTGATTTAAGTATTTAACTGCCGCTGGTTGATATTTTGGATATATTCATACTTCATACCATTATTATAAATGCGAAAGTTTAGATGGATGTGTGTTAAAATTTGTAACCTAAGCGGTGAACAGATTTCGATGAAATTTGGAAATGTAGAAAATGGTTTGAAAGAACACAAGCTGCTAACTTTTTTTTTTAATTCCACGGGGACAGAAACGCGAAAGCTAATATTTCATAATAAATATACAATACTTTCGGAATAAGTACTTTAGTATTTATTAGTTAAAGTGACTTTTCGCGATCCAATTCATAATAAGGTCTCAATAATCATGATTTGAGAAAAATTCGCGCCTCGTACTTGTCACGGTGTAAAAGGGTTGACGTAAGATCAAGGAAACTGACGGTGTTCTAATATAAAAGCTACAATCGTGTGAACATTGAAACTAGACCCGGAATAAAAAATAAAAATCAATACAAAGCAGCCGCAGCGGCTAGTTTACATTATCCCTTCGTTTGTACTACCTATAGCTATCTAGATAGTTATTTCTCGATGCAATGAACAAGGTAATAGTTCCCGAAATGAAAGACGGCAGATTTCCGTGATTGTACATATGTTTAACCTGATGTATTTGAAACATTGTCTAAGTTTTTTGTAATAAGACCCACATATTTCAAGTTAATTTATACATATGTTAAATGACGTTTTCGAATTTTATGACATTATTATAGTGTGTTTTAATCTCGGAATTATTGACTCGATGGAGTTGACACGAGGAAGATTTCCTCAAAAATATAACACACAATGTCTCAAAATAGAATTCCTTGTAAATCGACTTTTTATTCGCTGTCGGTATAAATAGGGGAAAAACGGGAAAGTAGGTCATCTCGGGACATGTTATTATAGCGCCATGAAAGCCACACCTTACGTCATTGGATTTACCTTTACTTGTCAAATGTGTCTGTGAAGACATTGCTTTCTTGTACAGTGTTATCCAAATGCCCAATTAACGAAATTACTAAAATATCAGCAATCGTTAAAGCTTCAGAACAAATTAATTTAGTTATTGATAAGCGTGTAATAATAAGGAGTGGGGGACGGCAGCAAATAAGATGGGAGGACAACTTGAAGTTGACTGCCTGTCCACATTGGAGAAGAGTTACGCGAGATAGAAAACAGTGGAAGAGTTTGGAGGAGGCCTATAAGGCACGCTGAAATTAGGAACATACTATAAGTCATTATATTTAATTTTATTTAAGAGTAAAAGGCTATATTACTAAGAGTGTAATAAGAACATTTTTGGCGTAATAAAATGTTAATATTTTCGATTTAAATAAATGAAACGAAAAATGTAATCAAGGCATTCAGTCAATTTTTTCTTAATGTAGCCTGGTTTACAAGTTAATTTTTCACGAAGAATGGATCTAAGTATTTATTACTTAGTACAATATTCGAATAAGTCTATCCTAAGGGATTTCAAGACTCAGATATGGTAAATCAAAGTGAAAAAGCACTTTATCTACAGATCTTTGAACTAAGTTATTTCACTAATATTAAAATATATACTTATATTTATTCCTGACATTTATGAATACAACATTAAACTTTTAAAATATGTTAATTCCATACGGACGAAGCCGCGTTCAGAAATTAGTGTAAAATGTCATTGTTTTCAATCTTTATAATATAATTAAAAGAGATCTTGTAAATTGAAAAAGAAACCTGTAATTAATTGAAAATTTTGTAAGACTTCTTGCGCAAGGATTTAGAATCCCACCAATTAAAGCCTCAAATAAATGTCGGCGAAATGTATCTTTTTCATTTAAGAGAGAAATTATTGATTTTTCTGTCGCTTTTAAACCGTATCTATTTACCCCGAATCATATTTTTAATTTCCTCGAAATATTAACTTTTTAAACTTTATAAACGAGTTTTTTTCACGTTTCACCAACTTGGTAGGTTATTATAAGCAACAAGAAAAAAAAGTTAATATTAAAGGGAATATTTTTTTTATCTTTTTAATAATCTTCCGATGAAAAGTAAAATACAAAAACATGTTTTCTTATAATGTCTGGATTACAGTTACAATACAATTCAAAGGTTTTTCTTACTCGAATAAGCTAAGAGTTAATCTAAACTAATGAATCATTTTGATATTAACAGCAATTTATAAATTAACTAGCTTTAGCCCGCGACTCCGTCCGCGTGGAATTAAAAAGAAACAAAACCGAGTAGCCTATGTGTTCCTTCAACCTATTCTTAACATCTATGCCAAATTTCATCGAAATCCGTTCAGCTGTTTAGGCTACAAACTCTAACAAACATCCATCCATCTAAACATTCGCATTTATAATATTAGTATGATTGCGTCTACCAATAGTAGGCCTAAAATTTACCTTCGTCTATGCTAAATCAAGTTGTATTAATCCTTGCTGTAGAATATTCATATCGCATAGTTTCTTCTCAGACCTAAAATGTCATTTCTCATTCGTAATGCATTTTCAGTCACGTATTTTAATGAATGAGATTGTTGCTTCAAGTATATTAGATGCATGTACACTCGGCAACAGAAATTTAGATAGATATTTGAATTTAAAAAATGCCGAGAATTTTGAAAAAAAAGGAGCACATACTGTGCCAACCCTCCGAATTTGTTAACCGATGTGTGCAGGCACGATGTTACCTTTTCCATAAGAACGTCGGGTAAATTACATTCATATGAAATCCAAAAAAATAGAAAATCGCATTAGTGGATTCGAACACAGGACTTCTGGATAACAAGTGCTCAAACCCCTGAGTCACCGACGCTCTAAAGGTTACGAATTTATGAATTATCCAAATTATTATTAAATTTGAAGTCGACTGTACAATTTTGAAATTCAGTTTGCCGGGGTTATGTTCGGAATTCACTGAGCTTAATACGTCTGTTTCAACGTATGATTTCATGAATGCTGCACATGATTGCTTTAGAATACGCATGATTAAAGTTCCGTAACAGTTACGCTGCGGTGGTTTTGTTAATGTGCTGGAAATCACAGGTGAAATGCTGTACAGTTTCGATTTGTTATTTACGTCAAACAGCTGAATTACAAATTAAGTTATATGACTGCTTTTTCTTCTATATCTTTTTATCCCTTTTAATAAAAATTACGAACGCCCGAGACGAAATTACAAAGACCAAAATACACTACCTTCTTCATCTTGAGTAGCTGATACTAGGAAAAGCTTTTACTGATTTTCTCTAAAACCATTGAATTTTAAGTATTATACTAATTAAAATGCTTTCGTAGTATCCTTTTTAGTAGTTGTCGATACTATTACTCAAACAGTATTTTAGTACCAAAATTCGAAATTCAAAATTATATTAAATTCGAATAGTGTTCACGGGAGTGAGTTACACA